ACCCAGACAAGTGTATACAACTCAACCATGAAAACTTGGCTTCATGACTCTCATATTTCCTAATCAAAAATAACTTCCATAAGAAATAACTGTTGACGGTGTAACAATAAAAAAATTTCACCATACACAATTATTTATCCTACAAATGAACACTTCAAATTACCAAAACAGAAATGACATTCAAATGATGCATAAAAATTGCCTATTTAGAAAAAAAAAAGTTTAAATGGGATAGAGAAATGGCAAGAAAGTAACCGTGACAATAAATACTTATAACTTTTAGTGGGATTACTTCTGTATGAACTTTGATCCTTGCTATTGCTGCTGCTACTGTTAATGTTAATACTCACACTATTCCAATAACTGGTGGTTTATGCTTGTTAAAAATAGTTGGTAAAAACTATTTTGGACAACTAAAAACATAAGTTCCTTTCGCAAATAATAGTAAAGTCCGTCTTTTATTCCATTTCTTTAACCATAAATAACATTGATTTCTGGAAATTCAAATGAAACAAACCCCACCTAATGAGCGGTCAGTTGGTGAAAGAAAAGTAGAATTACCGTGAGTGCCGTATTTTAGCAAACCAATTTCATGCAAACCTCGAAACACTCAGATGCTCACCTATCAACTAGAAAATCATTATAGTTAACCAGTTAAAAAAGAACCCATAGCATAAACTCTTCTGAAGCCTCATTATTTTTCTGACACTGCAGTAACCTATAAAAGCCCAGAAAAAGTAAAGATTATAACGCATGTGTAACCTATATTTAAACCTAGAATTTCCCCCCATAGTTTAGCCTTCAATAGTAAAAGTTAAATGATTAACAATCGTGAAAATCCCAACAAAAAAAGACACAGGTCCGCTTGAATATTCGTGTCAAGTAACATTATGTGGTCAAATTCCACGACATCCCCTGCCCTTCGTAGACCAATGATTTTTCCTCTTTCAACTCAAAGTGATCGGATTTCACAAAATGCGTAAATTACCATAAATGAGAGGTTTCTAAAGCATAAAAAAAAGTTTGTAAATTGAAACTTTAATGTGCCACCGACTGAAGCTGAATTATGAAACCATGTAAAAAAGCAAACTCCTAGTAAATAGCAGTACTAGTTAAACTAATAATTACAGCCGAGTAGCCCTTAAACTGCCGTTACTGCCAACCAAAACTATGTAATCCAGTTCCGTATACGTTTCATTAATTCAGCACATCACAGGACATTACCTGATATGTCTTTATAAATTCTAAACACTTCAGTGTACTACACAAAAAGGCTACTTCCAATAACCGTATATAAAGCAACAAATTCGCTCATTTATGACATACTGGTAACTTCAGTCTTAAAAAACTAGGCATATTTAATTTGGTAGAAGACTTTCAAACGCTAACCTGCTACAATATTATCGAGTGTCCTAGACCGTCCCCATTGTTTATCACGCGTTGCCGGTATAGCACCATTACCATGGCAATGCATCTACAACGAAATTATGTTCAAAAAACTGTTTTTTTTTTTAAATTTTAACATTTTCCGCATCGGTACTTTCAATAGGCAACAAAAGTTTAATTAAATAATATGAACAAGGGTTAATTAGCCAAGCTTTTCCTAGTCATTAAAATAAAAACAGTTGCCATTGCTGCCCGATACCTGCCTTTTAATTTGTCTTGGTTTTTAAAAGCTAATTCAAAGCATACTGATTTCCACGCCAATGATCATGAGTAACAAGGAAGATGTTCGCTATTCGCAATTAAACACACCGTTTTCTGCAGCATATACTTAATCATTTCTGTACGCCTCTTCATTTATCGGTCCCATAGCTCATCTTGAACCAAAAACAAATTCGGTGGCCTACATCAGTTACCGTATCCACTGTTACCGCTATAGAAATGTTATCATGCACAAATCGAATAGCAAAGCTGTAAGTTTCTTGATGCTGAACACTAGATCTGATAACGCAAAATGCCAAACAACAGGAACGGTATTGTTCATATGCGTTTCAGATTCTGACAAAACTTTCTCCTTCTTTTGGAGCGTGTTCGGCATTTCCCACAATGTCACACAGATTAGTGCATAATTAGAGGGTCAGTTAGCCCCATCAATAGAAGGGCGCTACAGCGCAACACTTCTCTAAGGTTGAATTTTTTTATCGTTCACAATCGTGACAGTAATTATCCCTGCAGTAAAACTTTAAATAACTACAATTCCGAAAAAATTCTCCAAAAACTGATACTTTTTTTAAAGATGCCATCATTAACGTTCTAAAGTGCTGCCTTATTAGATGAAGTAGCAGTAGTAATTTGCCGGTTTCACCAAACTTTCTTCCCATCTCATACCAACAAAAATGCTCGTCTTCCCTTCCTTCTCGGTCTCTTTTCGATACATTCTCCTCATAAAATCAATTACCCGCTGACAAATAACACAGAAGATCACCTGATAAATGACTTGGGCTACAGAAAATGGAAACTCAGAGTTTCACACAGGTTGTCAATCCGGATTTGTATTTTCCTCCGAGGACAACTTTATTTAATTAATATCTGTCTTCATTTTGTTAAAGCACCCAACTTCAGTGCTTCAAAATACATATAAGAGACAGAAGAAAATAAATGGCCCACTAACTTGCCAAATTTTCAAAGACAACTGCACTTTGACAATCAAAGTAGACGCTGATATTTCAAAAACTTGAAAAGTCCTTAATAACCTACTCGGTATCCAAGTAGCCGAAATCCTAGTATCGTCTGCGCTGGATACTTCACTGATTCTGAGGCTACTTTTTCTGGTGGTGCATCTGGATCATAGGTAACTTTACCTATTTTGATATCCATTGTACATGGCTGCTCATAGCCTTCAGTTAAATCTTCCATAATTAGACAATCAATCGCTTAAATAGATATTGTTATTAATAAATAGTTTCCTTTCATAGATTGAATGGTTTTGGTCAAGGTCTTGTTTAGCCTTTTTTTCTTTTTCATGAAACTACTAACAAATGAATAAACACAAAACCACTGATGATTATCCCAACAAATTTAAAAGCAGCGGAAATAACTTTTGAACTTTAATCACTTAATTGATTTCTACTTCAAGTCCCTTTTTTTTTGTAGTATTTAACAAAAGACATTTTTTGCTCAACAATACAAAAAGAACTCGGAAAAATTATGATTAAAGAGAATTTTTGGCTAAGAACTGGCGTTAATCGGTTTCAATAACAGACAATCCAATAAGTTCCCTCTATAGATAATTACAATCCCTTGCCAGTGACAATTAATTCTTTCCTTTTCCAGCGTTCAAAAAATCGTTGATTTCACAGAACTCATCTTTTTCCTTTGGTAGCAAAAAAAAAGGTCAGAAAAACGTCACTGTTGAAGAAGTACAGAAAAAACAGTAAATTTCACATAAGTAAGAACGCTAAAAAAATCTTTTAGAAGAAAATTGACATGTGCCACTTGTTGAAGTGGATAAAATGTTAACTGCATTATAGAAACAGAAAGATAAATTTTTATAACAATTAAGTGGATTGTTGTTGATTCTAATAACCAATTTAAAACCACTTCCATTATCTCATGGCATGTGGTTGAGGTAACAATGTCACAGTTCAAGTACCTTAACTACTGCTGGGCGCATTCAATTAACCCATTTCTGCCCAAATAAATTCCTTAATCCAAAAATAGCAACAAAAACAGTTAAGCTGAATAGTTAAACTTAAATGCTTAAAGTAAAAAACCAAGAAGCAGTTTAATATTGAAAAGTTGAATAGAAAAATCAAAGAATCATTAACTAACTTGTTCGACAAAAATATTTGGTTCCCATTAAACTTTCAGACAAAGAACCTTTGTAAGTAAGAAAACCTGCGTCAATTTAGCAGAACGAAAATCACTAAATCCTTACTCACTATGATTTCTTGCTGCCTCCAGTCAACTAGCAGCATTTTAAAGCTTACTTTTTTCCCCAACTTGAACCTTCTTTAAGCCATAATACTTCGGTAAAAATGAAGCAAGTTTTGCCAAAGTCTCTTCCTTTTCGTTCCTTAATGGTTCGCGCAAACTACTTAGTTCTGTATATAAACCGATCTGTAAAAACAAAAATTTACAAGAAGCTAATAGTATACCGTAAACCATTACCCTGAAAAGCAGATGAAGACTTCATTATTTCCAAAAAGTATCTGCTCTAACTTTATCATCTTACGTTTTTCTTGAGCCTCTGTTTTGGGTTTTTTTACTTCTTTTTCTGAGGGATCTAACCGTTGGCCACAGATTAACCCGCAAACAAACCAATGCTGAAACTTCTGGTTGTTAACAAAGTAGTGAAAAGTTTGTGACAAGACTTCTCTTTCCTCTTTTCCTCTCAATTGACATTTCACAGTTCCAACAATTGGCCTCTGAGAGGATAAGCCTGTATTCCTCAACGGGGCATCTCAGCAAACATTCCCATTATTTGATTTGTCTTCCCCCAATATTTACACAAATGTTCTTGGATTAAAAAACAATTCGGCAATGTCGCCTTATAATCTGGCGTTCAGTTAAACATCGTTCCAAATGTATATTTGCTTCCAACTTTTTTATTTCTGTCAGAGTCAGTTTACAATGCAAAAATCATTACAGAAGTCTTCACATGCTAAAGATCAACATTTTCAGTTGCAATCTTTTATTAAAAAAATAAAAAGAAAAAAGCAAAACATCTTTTACCTCACGTTCACCTCGTATACCTTCTTGAACCGGTTTTAATAGATAGACACTGCCGTGTTCTTTGAGGAAACCTGGAACAGCTCGTAACAGCCAATCAGTTAGCAACTTTCTGAATTCTCCAGAGAACGAAATAAAAAAGAAAAACCGACTTCTAAAAACCTTGAAACCGTAAATCAGCGAGTAGATGAATAATCCAAAACAAACAAAGAAAAACGTTTAAAAAGAAAGAGAAATGTCCCGAATTTCCCATGACCAAGACTTCCGCAACAAATGTAATACTGCTTGAAAACATGAACATAAAAAATTTTTGATCCGAGAAAATTTCGAGAACTAACAGTTTACAATAAAATGTTTACCGTTATTGTTAGACAGCCTCTTCTGTAAATTACAATACGGATGTATTTTTTATAAGAGAATGAATCCTCATAAGAGGAAATTGAAATATTTTAGCTTGATAATAAGCGCCTTTATCTTCTGAATGCCATAAACAAAAACTTCCAACTATTATGCCACGAAATTATTTTCAACACTACGGAGTGTGGAAGAACTCTGATCTACCTGCTCCAAAACCTAAGATAAAACAGCTCTCCTCAACTACAGGTAATAGCACTTCAATTTCTGTCGTAAACCAGTCAGCTGCAGCAAAACTTTCAAAATTGTTCAATCACTTTGTTAACAAAAATTATTCCTCAACATCGTGATAACTGCAGTTTTCCTCGCAATTTTGAGCAGATCAAAACTTTTTTATTTCCCTCTCAATCTATCCTTCTTTTTCATTCAAAAAATTGCAAATAAAAACCATTAAACTTATCGTACATGAAGAAGAAAAAAAAGAAATAATTTATGTTTTTAATCCACTGCTTTCTTCAGTATATATTTTTGTTCATTATTTTTATGCTGCTTTTGCTGTTGCTGTCATATGCAAAACAAGAATCTATTCCGGCAAAATAATGTGCACAATTTCTTTCCCCGACTTCCCTATCCTCTTAGAAAAGATTGACTGCCAAAAAAAAAAAATAAATAAATAAACAAAGAAGAGACAGTGATGACGATAGTTTTTTGTTAACAATTTTCATAAATATACCAATAAATAACAGTGATAATCATAGTTGTTGTTTGGAAATGACTAACCAATTTCATATTGACCATTTCTGAAAACAGATGGATGATGCCCAGCGATCTGTTCACGGTACCATTCAAAATGTTCTGGTAGATTTGTTTGTGCAGCTTTCATTTGAATGCACTGCAAAAAATAATCTATAAAGTTTCAAATAAATTATTACCTTTTTCCATTTCTGTGTGCTCTGTTCAAATTTGTAGTGTTGAGTAAATAAACATAACATTAAAAATAACGGCACTGACAGAAACCGATAACGCAAGGTAAATGTTCTGTGCAAAAACGAAACTGCATATGCCAAGCCCAATAGTAGACATATAAATATTGTTTGAACTTGAAGTTTAAAAAATTGCACAGATGTCATGTAATCACCATCTTACGTAATCAGTCATCAGAATACTATCTTCTTCTGCATTCCAGTGCTCTTACGGTGATCACCAAAACAAGTAACAGACCTAAGCAAATCTTCTTTTGCACACAGATAACTAATACCACAGATTTCGACTTGTACCTGTGCAAAAAAGAAAAAATAAATCTTTAACTATAGATCACTTTGACTAAAAGAAGCAAATTAAATTTCAGTCATTACCAAATGAACCCATTCTAAATTAGCATATGAATGACTGATTTCAAAAATTAAACTTCCCATCGTCCCATACTGACTTTTAAGAAACTGTAACGCTAATTTTTTACTTAGCATCAACGTTCAGCAATGCAGCAAAAAATGAAACTATTGAATTTGTTTGATTAACACATTGTACATTGCTTTTTTTAACTGTTCAGATCATTAGTTACTATCGTTAATGCTGTTGTTGTAATTTTACAATTCTGTATCAAAAACCCTAGCATTGAAAAACAACTTTACTCAAAAAAATAAAACGCTTCTCTAATCCCTCTTGCAACTATTCTTATTTCCCTGATTTCTATTAAAAACAGAACAATATAACTTTTTAACACACCTTCATTTTCTTTTTTTTATTTTTTTAATTTATAAACAATAACAACAACAAAAGAAAAACAAGTTTTCTGACATGCCGTTTAACACCTCTACAATCAAAATGTAACAGTCATTGATCATCACTGACGCCCCGGTGAAAATACGTATGCGATGAAAAAACACTTTTAGCAATGCAGCCATACAAACAAAAAACACTGCATCTTGTTGTTCTCTTATTTAAGTTTTTTATCCGTTATTGTCTTACATTAAAGGTGACAAAAAACTAAGCGCTGAAACGAACGAAACAATTAATATGCTAAGGTTCAAACTTCCTTCGAACGACTGCAGTCAACAAATCAAAACGGTTCATAAAGCTTGATTATCTCAACAATTTCTTCTCCCTCGCCAATTGTCGTCATCATCTTATACAATCAACTCCCTGTCGTGAACAACCTAATAACTGCAGCTTCTATCAATTTGGCAACATATCTGGCAATACCCTTCCTCAACCTAAACAAGCTATAAGACAGCGCGACCAACAATTACGACCAACTTAATCACCGTCACCATCATCATCATCACCATTATCATCACAACAACAGCAAACGCAACGATAACGGTGATAATGGAGTTAACTGCTGCAACCCGTTCTGTGATTCTGCCCACAGTTGGTACAATGCTTCTGCCAAAGAAGAAAATAAGTATTTGAAGCCAAATAGACCAAACGACTTAAAGGAAAAAATTTTCTTTATTTCTCTTAATTGTAGACAACTACCCAAAAAAAAAGGAGAGTAGAATAAAAAAGACTTTTATTTAATAGCCTTGTTACTATTATATTATTGTCATCAAAATTCGTATTTATCATACTATCAACATAAAAGTTAAAGAAAATAATCTAGTTTTTTCCTTTCCTTGTACAAGTCAGAAATTTACATAAAGTATGAAGCGACATAATACAGTAGAGAAAATGAGGTATAACGAAAAGAGGAAAAAACGGCAGGAAACAAGAACCTAAAACAAAAAAGCAACAACCCCAACGACTATTTCGACACCATTCAAGAAACACTAAATACACCTTCAAATTCAGTTAGAATTATCAGAATTGGAGAAGACAAGTTTCGTTTTGTTCTTCTGGCCCCCTAACAAAAGAGACACAATTAAACAAGAAAAAGCAGGTAAGCTTTAGATAAGCTTTATTTCTGCTTAAAACTATTCGGCACTTCAGACAACATCAATATGAATACTACACACCAAGCAAAAACTGAAAATTTTTTACATTAGTAATACCTTCACTAAACATAACCAACACTGAAAACCGACAGATAAAACTGAAATAATAAATGTATGATCAGTGTCTGTCTGCATATGTACATACACACATCAAAAAAATAAAATAAATGACATAAAGTAATGAAACAAAATAAATAAACAAACGAATCTGCAACTGCCGACATTCAAAAGGTAAGAAAAAGAATGAATTATGGAACAGTGAAGTTAAGTGGCTCACGCATTATACCTACTTCTTGAATGCAGCATGCAATGCAGCGATCGTAAAAAAACACAAAAAGTGGCTCATTAGAAAACTCTGATGCAGTCATTCAATATCGCTCAGGTACCATTCAAAACAGCATACTTTCCGACTTTTTCTTTGAATCCCGAAAAAAAAA